CGTGTCCAAATGTCAGGGAAGCAAAGTTAGATAAGGCCTTCTTTTCGTGTCTCGGCGAAAGGACGGCTCTGTCGAGGCTCCCTTATTCTTCTGTGAGTGTCTATATCGATTGACTTAAAGGGGAACGAAAGATGCAGTTGCGACTAAAATATGACAATGTTGATTATTTTTGTGCTATTTTATGAAATTATATATGCATTGAATACATGCATCACATACTTCTTAACTTAGCCGTTTTCTGTATCTTTGCCTGAGTCTGACAGAAAGTCCCAGTTCACTATTCATCAATTTGCATATATGCAGCTGATTTTAGCATTAGTGTCCATGTAAGTATCCCTGGCAAGGAGATGCAAATCCCATTCTCGAACCTTTTTTTTTATTATTCGAATCTTTGCAAAAAAGTTGCTTCATAAGTGATTCTCCGTATGAAGAGAGGATTATGATAGAAGTCTTTCGAATGTCTACGCTTACATGAGACTACCGAAATTAGCATATAGATTCTGATTTATTGAACGAATTCTGTGCACTCAGTGCTCACTCGAATGATGCATGACCACATCAGGCATTCCACCCTGCTAACAATTTTCATAGGCGTATTTGGGATATTGTAATTTTGCGAGGAAGTTGCTTTTCCTTCGCCTGTGTGAACAGACTCATTCTTGTTTTCGTTTAATTACAAACCCTTTTGACTCACTTTCCCTCTCCCGCCGGAAACTGCGCACGCCACGGGATGGAATTCCTTGAGTTGCTTTTCGTGTCTCGACGACTCGGGCTCTGTCACTTCTCGAGAACTTCGTGTCGGGAATGTCTGTCGGATTTCCGAGCGAAAGCTAAAATGATTCCATGACATCCGGAAATGGAATGTCACGATATAATTCCATCCGTCTCGTCATCGTGACACGAACTGGAAATAATTGCAAGTACTGTTGGCAGAGGAAGAACGGTTGGGTAATACTGGCATTTAAAAAAATTAACCTGCGGCTTCGCTGTACGGACCCATGTCGTTTCCTCGTTAGGACTTGCAATTCCTGGGCGAAATGTCCGGGTTTTGCGATTCTCTGCGTGGGAGCTGGGGGAACGAAAATAGCAAATAAAAGTTCAGTGAGTGAAAAGGGCTTGCCCTCCCGATGAAAAAGTTGTCGAATCGACTGCCAATCTTTAAAGTTTTTTTTCGTTGCATCCGCTGGTCCGTGCCGCATTTATCTTCGGAGCTCTGTGAGGGGAAATTCAGGTTTGCATCGTTGGGATCTGCTTCTAACATGACCTCAATTTTTCGAAAGGATTGAGCGTCCGCGTGTGAAAGCCTCACTCGTGGAGGATGGGTGAGGTCCGTCGCTCTTAACTGCTTTCCGTGCCGGTTTCTGACGTCAGTGGAAGGAAAAGGCGGGGTGTACAGTAGTTCGGACACAGAGCATTAATCCAGACTTATTGGATTTTGGAATGGAAGGAAATGGAGAAGAAAACAGTGATTGCATAAATATTCATGTTTGTTGTTGCGTTCTCCAACATCGTGGGAGCATCGACGCCCTCTCGTGATCAGGGCCGTAAATAAGGGGAGGCACCTGCTCCGTGACGCCACCTAAGGAAGGAGCGCGAAGCAGACGAAAAGCGAATGAGGCAGAGAAAAATTAAAGGGGAAAATGGGCTGGACAGTGAATAACCATTAAAAAAAATGGAATGGAGAAGTTTCGACTTCCGATATGCATCAACGGGTCGTCGATGCGTATCTCAGCTTGGCGATAGCTCTCAGCATTTTTTCTTGCTCTTTCCTCATCAATTGCTTCATGTGAGCTTCAGCTAACCAAAGCTTATCAAGACGTACATTCGATCCACGACGGGCCAAAAAAGGCTCTCCATTGAAAATCAAATAGCGAAAAGAAGTGGATTTTGACTATATCATTGAGATCTTTGTATCTCGAAAAGCAAGGGAAGCAGTGCTGTAATTATTTAGGGAGACCCATGAGCGTGCCAATGAATACTCATGGGGATACTCATGAGCTCATGTCTATTCTGTATACTTGAATAAAATTATGCTAATTCAGATTCAGATTCAGATTCGCTTCAATTGAGGGGGTGCATACTTATACATATGTATGTAGATGCGCCATATGAGGTAATTACGGTCCTGCTCGTGACAACACCGACAGAGAGAGGGAGCATATGAAGTCGATGCAAACGAAACTTGAGAGATTAAGGCCATGAGACAGAGAAAATGGCTCTTTAAGACGATTGCTGCGCTGAGTAAAGTAGCACGGATTAAGTGTCCCATTTAAAAAGGGGGGAATTCCTCTCTCCGAGGTTCCCACCTTGGCGTTTGGCCGATCGAAACTTTAGTGGGTCTTGACGAATCCCTGGAGAGTGTTTAAACGCTATGGAGGAAGCCAAGAGTGATTATGCCTGTCTTTCAGACCTGATTTCTCTCCATTTTGCTGTAGTTACGTGGAGCAATGAGGAGAGTGTAGGAAAATGTTCTATCCCTGTAGAGTAATAGATTCCCCAGACTTCTGTGGTGCGTCAGAGCATCGATTCGCTTCTAAAGTTCATCATAACTGCGCCGACTCTAGTTTAACAGAGGTGAACTTTCTTATTGGCATAACCTCTGCCTTTTGCCGAGGACAAACGCGTTTCGTGATTGGTCGAGGAAGAGGCGGTATGATGCCCGACCATATTATTTGCGGAATGGATGCACGAGCAGGTTTCTACGAGGAGCATTCAGAGTCCTGCGAATTTCTTTATAATTTCCGGGTAAATTCTTTATTCATCACCATTATACTGTGACTTTTCAACGTAGTCCCCCTGAGTTCGACGCACTTCGCACTTCCTCCAGCGTGGAATCAGTTTCCTTAGACCGTCAGGAAAAATTTTCCAGAGTATTTCTGATCCACCTGTTTAGTGCAGCTTTCATTGCATTGAGGGAATGAAAACGCACTCCTCCAGAGGCTTCTTCATCTCGCCGAAGAGGTGGTAGTTTCTGGGAGCCGGGTCTGGCAAGTAGGGCGGATGCGGGAGCAATTCCCTCCTCAATTCCGCTTTGGCTGCTCTAGTTAAGCGCGCGATGGGGTGCCTTGCATTGTCCTGCTGAAGAAGCGGCCGAGAATGCAACTTCCCAGGGGGGTTTTCAATAAGAGCCTGTCGGAGAGGGCCCAAAAGCCGATTAGAATAGTATTCTGCATTCATTGTGGTACCTTTTGATAGGTAGTCGATCATTATTATTCCTTTACAATCCCAGAAAACCGGAATGATAACCTTCCCCAAAGAGGAAACAGTTCGAACCTTCAAAGGAGGTCCTTCTTCAGATCGACGCCACTCCTTAGATTGTGATTTGGTCTCGGGATTGAAGTAGGGAAGCCACGTCTCATCTACAGTGATGATACGGTCGAAAAAACTCTCCTCGTATTCTTGGCTAAGTTGAGGCGGCTCTCGACACGTTTCCATTCGATCGACCTTTTTTATTCAGGCCCCAACAGGCGAGACACCCATCTGGCAGAAACCTTCGTCATACCGAGATGTCATGGAGAATCTCATGAGCCTTGCCGGTGCTGACCCCAGGGTAGTAGCAAGCTCCTGAACGGTAACTCTGAGATCTTTCATTAGAATATTTTCCGCAGCGTGAAATTTTTCGTCGGTGGTAACCATTCGAGGGCGGCCGCTGCGAGGCTCGTCTTCTAAGGTCTGGCGACCATCCTTAAACCGCACCAGCCATCGGAAAACGGTACTCTTCGATTTTGTAGATTCTCCAAAGACAGCCTGCAGCCTCTGAACAATCTCTGAACCACGTGCACCTTTTCTCCACAAAAAGAAAATAATTGCTCGCCGAGCTTACACCGCATCTTCCATGGCTTCGAAAAATACAACTGAACTGAGATGAATAATTCTGCTCAGGAGATTATTCGGGCAATATACTCAATTCAATAATGAACAAGGTAAGCCTTTATCCAAAACTTCCGATCAGAATAGGTTAAGCTCGATTTCCTTTCGTACACTAACGATATTACCAGAACTTTCTGAAAGTCCCACATACTTTGAGGTTGCCAAGTCCGGGAAAGTTCGGCTCCATCTCCGTGATCCAGCTCACCCACGTTCATGTGTCTCGCAGCATGCTCACACCTCGGCACTCAATGTCTCATCTAGTCTTTAGCGTTTGAGACCTCATTAGAAGTTACTTAGCCCTATATCGCACCTCTTCAAAGAGCAGCGTATATCTCTGATTCACTTTACCGGTATCCGACACGCCAACCCTTTCCCAGTGGAGAGAGGGAGAAGAGTTGAACGCATCCAATAATTTTCTCATTCATCTCTGTTCATCCGACCTCTCGATTAGCCGGAATAGCCAGTGATGTACTGCAGCGGCAGAATACAGTATAATCGCATCGTTTTCTGTTCTTCGTTCAACCTCATCCAATCGAAGATTTCAGGTCCCTAGAAAATCATTTGAAGAAAGAGGCTCGAGGTGGAGATGGAGACGGATGAGACCCCTGGTATCCATACTCTCTTTAATTAGAAGGAAAATGTGATCGAGGTCTCTATTCTATTGCAAGAGTCCTATTGTAAGGACTATATGAAGTTCTCAAATAGACGGAAACTGAGTGTTCCTCCTTGTCCCCCCCCCCCCCCCCCCCCAAGCCAGTTTCTCCACTGTCCGCAGGGGAAAATAATCTCATATTCTGCTCAAGCATAGAGCAACAGAGCCACTGGCGACTCTACAAGAAAGGACAGGAAGCCCCTACTTGTTCTCTCCTTGGCCGTGTCTTTGTGTTTTCCCTTTCAAGGCCGTGTCCAGTCCTCTCATGTGATATACATAGGTGAGCAAACAGGCATAAATGGAAAGAGAGCCACGCAAGAAGGGTCGATAGAAAACCTACATCTCTTCACTCCGGGTCTCCGTTCCTATGATAGCAAAGGGCAAAGGAAGGCAAGGCAAGGCAGGCGCACACAGCGAGGATACGTGGGACCACGCTTTCCCCTATGAAGGGAGACCAAGGGCCTCCACTCCTCGCTCGACTCTAGCCCGGGTAACATGCCCATCGTTTTCTGATCTCCTAAACATAGGGCAGAACGCTAGTTCCCTGTGTCCTCCAACATTGATGGCTCGCTTTCTTCGTCGCAGTTTCAAAAAGAAGAAAGGTGAGAAGGCACCGTTTTAATTTCGGTATTTTGTCCTTTTTGAGTGCTCCACCTGCAGTAATCTGACAAGAGTAGACTGAGTCTCCACCTGCTTTGTCGCAGACAGGAGTAGTAAAGTAGTAAAAGATCCATTCGTAGAGGTACGTTTAGAGGAAATCGAGTTCTGTGAAATCGCTGACATCATCTTGTAAATATTAATTTTGGCACCGTTTTAGACGTGAACGATGCCAAGACTGTCAATGAGGTCATGTTTCTCTCTTTATCAAAATACAACATTATCCATGATTGCAATATTGTCGATGCTCTTCATTCCCATCATTCTGACACCTGATGGTCAGATGCGGACAGCAGTTCATCAATCACGATGATTCTATAAATACGCACTCCATCGGCGTGACTCTTCGATGTTCCAAGATTGAATTTTCCATTTCCTGAAACCCTCGGTAGTGCTGGCGCTGGCGCCCACGGCCCCCTGGGTCTTAGAGCGAACAGCCCTCGTTAAGCCTTTCGTGTCTGAAGGAAGGATTTCAATTAAGGGGAGTTTCCGGAACGTTAACAGCATGAGAATGAGGAGCCTCTTCGACGGATCGCAGAGAGATCGATGCCACGATTAATTGCGTTCCCGCGCATCCCGGCCAATTTCCGCTTCAATGATCTTGTTATAGTGGCTGCGCGGGTACAGGACCCGCGGGAGAGGTTTCCCGCCCCCGCGAAATCCCGTATCGGCAAAACGCGTCGGGGAGGAACCCTTCGTGCTCGTTATTCGGATAATCGTTCGCCGTCGAACATGCAAATGTATCCAGGAGGAACCCCTTCGCTTCTATCGCACGAGGATGGCAGATGGAACGGGATCGGCCCTGCATTTTATCAGAGGAAAAGACGACAGCAGGGAAATATGGCGTGTCTGTCTGTCGTTCTCTTCCTTTTTTCACCACCTGCTTGTCATCTCTGCAATATCTCGGCGATTGAATCCTTCATTTCTCCCTTGCGTGATTCTCCTTGGCCCACTTTTCGTGTTCTAAATAAGGCCTGTGCCAAAAATCGCATCGCCCAGAATCTCTCCAAAAAAGTGGAGAGTCTGGTTGAAAAGTGGTTACAAGGAAGCCTTAGGGCTACATCACCCATATTTCATCAGCATCGTGGGAGCTATGACTGGGTAAATGAGATAAATCTTCATCCTACCCTGGCAAATACGGATATGAGCTAGAGGAAAGACCAGATTAAAAATACCCTTAGGCAATCCCATTCAATTCATGAAGGAATTGTGGAAGCCAGCTGTTAATAAATCAAAGTGATGTTATTAAAAAAAAAAGAAAGATGAATTATCACGAATGCGGCATATGGAGGATTTCCCCCGAATAATCCTTTTAGCCTCATGGGAAAAAAAAACAGCAATTAGACAAGGCTGAATGCCTCTGCAACCACTTACTCGACACTTAAGTCGAATAAGAGGCAGAACATGAGATGAAAAGGAGTCCTACTTACTTCAGTGAGGAACTTTTTGCAACTGAAAATGTGTATGCAGTTCCTGGGGGTGGGAGTATTCCTTCTTTTTCCCTACCCCCTCCTCCCTTCCTATTCGATTTAAGAAGAGTGGCGGGGGTTGGGCAAATCCATTCTTGGTGGGAGGCCAAGAGGAGGGGGTGGGGGTATCTTTCCCCCCCCCCCCCCCCCCCCCCCCTTTCTTACTTGAAAAAGGTTCGAGCAAGAAGCCCCTTGACAGCATGAAAAATATTATCGAAGTAAATGCGGTCTTTTTTATTATTTAATATTTGATTTAGCTGTGTTGTGTAATAATTCCTGAACTTCATAATTTAAAAAAAAATCAATGAAAAAGTGATGGAGCGGATGGGACGAACCTTTCCATCTTCCCTCGATCACTCTGTGGAAACTTTTGCAAGAGTCGTGATGCATTGTGTATTGAATCGAAGGAGACAAAGAGAGCTTTCAAAATATATCAAATTCGCCTTGATCACGGTACTACATTTTGAGCAACAAACGGGAATAGAGAGAGACTTTTTTGGGAATGGGATGCTAATTATTTCAGAAACCCGATGTGTCTGTCAATCTTCGCTTACATAAAACATACATCAGGACAGCATTTTTTAAAATGCATACTTGAGTTCCCCTTTGGACAAAAGGAATGACTGGAAGCAGTTTTTCTTTATGGAATATGTGTGAAATTAACCCTTGAAAAACCCAGAAATTAAGCAGAAACGAGAATAGAGGTATTTAAGTGACAAATTAACATCTTCCATGTCACGCACGTAAGTACTTCGTTCACGATGCACTGTCCCCAGCGTGTTTTGAACGAAGTAACTTCGTTTCACGAACTCTGCGGCGTGGGGAATGCCTACATGAATAATGTGTAATGCGCGCAATGCGTAAGATGAAATTGAAACTTTACTAAAACCGAGATTGATGGTCGGTTTAGGGGGTTGGGGGTGGGTTTCGGTGACACTGAAAGGACAAAGGGAATCGGGGTCACGATGAAACTTTGACTCGTGCTCAACCACAGAGTGAGAAGGATTGACTTCAGCGAAAAGGCGGGAATCCGTTATTTCAATCAATATCACCGGATTTTCACCAGGCCCTCGTAATTTTTTTTTTTGGTGAAGTAACTTATGAGACAGGCCTACCAACAGAATTCTACGAAATATGCAGCTGCAATTGGTTTTACTTGTGGCATTATTTTATTTGTTATGCAGCAGAGGTGGAGGTAGAAGATTGGGAGCCGCATTCCGTTCGATACAAACCCGACGGCATCGATCAATTGTCCAAGACGACCAAGTTCAGCCGGAAGGAGCTTCAACTCATGTACCGCAGCTTCAAGCAGGTTTCTGGTCTTTATATACTACGTCAGAAACAGACGGGGGGTGTGTTTGGGGCAACTTCCACACAGGATATTGACTCTCTCCCCTCCTTTTCTCTCTTTCCTTCATTTCTCTCGACGACTCGGAAGATGGATGCCTTCCTTTTGGGCTCTATATAATTCCTGGCCCAGAACTTCGGGTGTTTCTACCCTCGATTGCCTCTCGCGACTTTTCCTCCTCCCCCCCTTTCCCCTTTGCTTCCCGGAGCAATTGATCTTTCTAAGTTTCCTCCTTTTCTGTCGATGGCATCCACAACCATAAAGAGACTCCAGTCAATGCAATCCGGTCTCGTGAGACAATGTTTCCATCGGAGTGTACACTTCCTGAAAGATTCAAGTTGGAGAGAGAAGTTAACATTTTAACAGTTTACAAATTAGGGCAAATAGGTCACTTCGCAAATTTTTTTTAGGTGATACAAACTTGACTGATTCACTGTCACATTGGAACTCTTGGTTTCAGGAGTGTCCAACGGGGGTGGTGGACGAAGACAAGTTCAAAGCCATCTATTCCCAGTTCTTCCCACAAGGAGGTGAGATATCGAGTAATTCATTTTGCCTCTCGGTTGTACATGGACTTACTTCCCGGAGTGATGTCCGATTTTTCTGTGAAAACGGAGCCACTGGTCCCAATAGGCTTCATCCGTGTGCAAATTACTTTTTGTTGGAAAATTTTTACTTTTTTAATTCATGGATATGCAATCATCTCCAAAGAGATGAAGATTAATCGTACTACGGATATCTATAGTTTAAAGGCCCTGTTACACTTGACGAGTACTCGCTAGGGCCACTCGCTTACTTTAACACCTCACTCGCTAGCACTCGCTACGAGTTTGAAAGATTTCAAACTTCAGACGAGTACTCGCTAGTAAGGGGTGTCACACTAAGCGAGTGGCCCTAGTGGCCCTAGCGAGTGGGATTTTACACTAAGTGAATGGCCCTAGCGAGTACTCGCCAAGTGTAACAGGGCCCTTATTTCCCACTATCCCAAAACAGCATACTGAGCAGAACCGCTTGTCAGTAAACTGAAATGTATTAATTTTTAGCAAACGTTGACCTTGCTTTCCATGAAAAACAGCTGAGAATCATGGTCTGAGATTCATAGCAGGACGTATGCATGTATGCATTCGATTAGTAGATTTCTCCCGAAAGCCTCTGCAGGAAGGGAATTTCCCAGAAGATTTCTAGTCACTTCCGCAACGAAGATGGAGGTTTTTTTTGGTTGCTTGTTTTGTTTCAATATCTCATCAGACTCCTGGTATTTCTCTTGGGATTCCCATCCCCGAACCACCTTGATACCGTCTCGAGAAATTTTTCTCTCCCAACGAAAGAATGTTTCCTTCTATTCCATGATACCATGTGGATTTTTCATTTTGGAGCTTCTCCCCCGGAGACACCCGCAAAGCCCAACGTATTGTAATGTACAGCATGGCGATATTATACGTGACTGGGTCGCCTATCACGATGAGAGATAGAGAGAGAGAGAGAGAGAGAGAGAGAGAGCGAGCTTCCCATTTTCTCACAGATGTAGAATTATTCATGTGGGCGTGCACTCGCCCTCTCCTTTCTCTCACCGTTCCATTTATCTTCTCCGTACTCACGATATTTTCTTTTCTTAGAAGATCCGTTGTCGTTTCAGAATATCCAGGCTTGAAATAACAATCAGGAAGTAAGTCAGGAGAAACTAAAGGTCTGAATAAACGGGCCATGAATATGGAATATCCAGAGCTAATTATGTGTAATTCCCTAAATTGGTGCTCGTTTCTCTCCACACAGATGCTTCCCAATACGCTCATTACGTGTTCAACGCATTTGATACGGAACACACCGGCTCCATCAGCTTCGAGGTAAGGGGGCCATCTCTCACGGAAAACGATGTTTCTACCCCTCTCCCACCAATGTAAGAAGTCGATCGGGTTATTCGTGATCGATTGTTCAGTCCCTTCCAGTGACGAAAGCCGAAGCATGGGAATGGCGTAAACGAGGGTGGCGATGCGTTGGATCCACCAGTGCATCCGCACTGTCGGGACTTTATTTATATTTATTTATCTGATATTTATTTATTTATTTAACCATCGCGATGTATTTAGATCAGGTTGTCACTAATTGCAGAAGCTTGTATCAGAAATACCGTCGACGCTCGTTATAAAGAAGTACGCTTTAGCGAAAAACATCATTTAGCGAAAAATTTTGTCAAAATTTGGTTGGCCCCAGCATCTCCCTGTACATATTATTAAAAAGTTGTAAAGAATTACAATATCACGAAATATACCTTGTAACGAAGTAAATTTCCTGCATCGATTCGCCAATAACAAGTTTTTATAACGCAATCGCAAAACTTTCATGCCAGTACTCTCCCATAACAAGCCGATAATGGCGGGGTAACATGGTTTTAATTGCAGCTGGATACATATTACCTTTTACACATGCGCAGCGATCAATTCATCGCGCATTTGATTAGTCATGCTCATGTCCAAAGCAGTGCTCTGCCCAATTTGTTTCTACTCCATCTTCAGGTGTAGCGAGAATGTCATAACTTTTTCCAAATTTTCCATATAACGTTTTCAAAATTTCGAGCATGAACCATTCTTGAACAGTTTAAGGAAACTAAACGGACATTTTAGTAAGAAAATCGAACGGGTATATTCGGAGGAAAACCCTTTCCCTGGAAGGAAAGGGTTGTCGCCTTCCATTCAGCCGCTTATCGTCACCGGGGAACTGAGGCCTATGAAACGAATGAGTTATGCGGAAGATAAGGCCAGCTCTTTTCGTCTGGTTCTCGACGTATTTGTACGACAGTGCCCCGTAGGAAGCTGTATGCTCTCGGAGCCAATCATGAGGATGAGGAGTTTCCATGGAGACGCCCTGTAATCCATAATCTGTTGTTGCGAGAAATTCCCTCGATGGTTCCCCCTATTAAGGCCTCGTTTCTCACCTCTTCCCACTTTTGAGTATCTCCTTCAAGCATTCCACGTTTGGGATCGATCACGCTCGAGCGCTTGCACAGAAAGTAGGCACAAAGAATCTTATTCCTCTCCATTCCTCGTGTAGTTTCGGGTTCCTTTGTCGGGACGGCAGGAGAAATCATTTGCCTTGCTCGAGTCGTATGACAGGGGGAAAGGGAACCGATGACGAAGCGGTGAAGCTTCCTTCCAGGAACCGACCTCTTCCTTACACGAGAATGAGTTTTTTTTACGCGGAACTTACCAATCGATCCGATGGGATTACCCATGAAATGAATGCCGTCTGGGAGGCATAGGGAAGGGAACTGATCTAGGAGGAGTGCCCGGGGAAGATTAAAATGGGTTCCTAGCGTGAAGTGCTGACAAGACTGTTGCTCTTATCCGCGAGGGAAGGGAACGGGGATATGTGGTGGAGAGAGAGGGAACTAGAGTAATTGATCTGGAAGGGGGACAAGAAAAAAGAAGCTAGGCCCGCTCCTTCGGGAAGGAGATAGCGGTATTAATCCGGGGTTTTTGTCTCTCTCGACGTAGGAGTTCGTGGAGGGGCTATCCATCCTGTCTCGAGGCAGCGTTCAAGACAAACTTCAATGGGCCTTCCAATTGTACGACATCGACGGGGACGGGCTCCTCACGAGGAACGAGATGGAGGAGATCGTCACTTCCGTCTACAATCTCCTCGGGCGACACACTCAGCCCTGCGTCGATGAGAATTCCGCCAGGCAACATGTCGATCGCATCTTCGAGGTAGTCCCGCCAGAATGTCCGAAGAAATAAATCAAATCAGTATTGATTTTGCTTACGAGCGAAGCGTTCATCTCTTGTGGAGCGAGAGTTTGATTCTGACATTTAATAATGGTAAAAGATTTCTAGCTTCTAGGAGCTCGTCTCCTATTTTCCTGCGAAGTTCTCTTTTTCCGTGTGATTCAATGCTTCTTCAAAGAAGAGAAAAACCTCAACGCTTTTTCACGATGACAAATCGTTTATAAAGCCGTCTCATTTCCCGTGCCTTTCATTGGTGCTAATGAGACTCGATTGTTACAATTTGAAAATCGGGAGAGAAAGATTTCGATGCTGAAAGCACTTTTTTTTTCGATTTTCCATGCTCACATTATCCCGGTTGATGCTAACAAATTCGAAAAGGGAAAAATGTTGCAAGGCTTTTTGAGAGTAGAATATTTTTTAGCATACCTTTTTTTATCGCATAGAAACTGGACCTAAACAGAGATGGAGTGGTGACCTTCGAAGAGTTCATGGACACGTGTCTCAAGGCAAGTGTAGATTATGCAGTAGACATAGATTGTATGCATACACGCACATCACACATTAGGAGGGGCTTCCATTAGAAGCCTTCCAGAGCCCTGGATTATTCACGAGATCGCCGGAGAGAGAGAAAATCAAGGGGGCTGGGATTTCAGGAAGTCGGGGATCGAATCTCCTGAGGGAATTTTCTCTTCAGCTAACGTCACTTCCAACTCCGCGATTCAAATGACAACCGAGATCTGACTTGTATTCCCCATCCTTTCCTCTTCGTCGTCTCCTCCTTCCTTTCCTTCGGCTTGTATTTCTTTCCTGATGAAGAAGTTTCCGACGTCTGGGGAATGGGAGCTTCCGTCGCTTCAGGCCTCACAAATCTCCGCGGTCGAGAATAAGTACTGAAAAGATTCATACAGAATATTTGAAGACCGTAACGTTCTCAACGGGGGGGCTTCGACATATCTGAGGTAAAGATCCTAAAACCTATGTTCTCGTTGAATGGATACTACGAGACAGTATATACTGTGTACTCTATCCCGAGATCGATAGAGGGAAGAAGCTTTGGCAGGCAAACAGAAGAAAAGACAGCCCTTATCCCTCTTTCCCCATGCATTCCGTTCTCGATGCGAACGAGGCATGGTCGGAACAAAAGAACAACGATTTCATTCGATTCCATCTGCTTATTCGCAGGACGAGACGATCGTGAATTCCATGGCGTTATTGGACACCACGCTCTGAGGACAAGAAAGGAAAGCAAAAAAAAAAGGCTTTTGTGATATCCCTCGCATCCTCATTCCCCCCGTCGCGATGACGATGTGCGTCACATCATCGTACGTAAACTGGGAACACTCCCTGGAATACGTGCATCCCGATATGGGATACGTGGACAGCATCACCAGACTGTCTCTGTCTCTCTTGTGCTCCGCGTGTTGATGGCCTCGTTTGAACTCTTCCCATTTTCGCACTGTCGACATTCGCGTGCAAATCCTGCGGCAAGTCACGTTGGATCTCGTGGAATAGCATGCACGTCTTTATTTGTCCGAGTAGATTATGTCTAGTCTTGTGAGACCTTCTCGATGCAGGCTCTCAAAATGCTCAACTTCTTTCTCCATTCGGATTAGTTTCGCGTAGTGATCGATGAAAATCGTCGATGACAGTCGATTGCAGTCGTTTGTGCCAAGTCGATCAGCTGTTGGTCGCAGTCGTTTGTGCCGATTTAGAAGAGTCAAAGAAAAAGTCAAAGTTCAAAGGTCAAATCTTAAGTCTCCGATGTATGCAACTGAAGAGACGGACTGAAGCTGTTCGTGCATCTCCTCATCGTTTGATCTCAGTATGAAGTCATCTCTCATCGCCCACTGACGCAGAGGGAAAGCAAGAGGAAAATAGGTGAAATCTCAAGTGTTGTTTGTTCTCGTGTGCATGAGTGCAGATTATCATGCTGGTTTTCTCTCGTGCGATCATTTATATGGCTGTTATTTTTATGTGGAAAAAAGATCTAATGAATCTCCATGGGAAGATCAGCCACTTGGGTTTTCTTTCTCCCTTCCTGCCGCTTTGTGATTTATGCAGATGAAAATAGAGCCATGGCTCCCACATTTTGGGGTTCTTTCATCCTTTTGCATCATCGTTTGGGTGTGTGGTAAGAGGGAGTTTAATGAAAAGATGGTAGCAGATGGTGAGATGGTCGTTGGGGAAGGGGGGCGTTCCTTGATGAGATGTTCTCTCTGGGAATCTTTCTCGGGATTCATTTTTTTATATATATTTTCTTCTCCATCTTCATCATACACTTTTCGTTTTCTTCTCTCTGCCTGTCCCTCGCACTCCCTCCTGCCGAGTCCATCTAATTATGGCCTCTCTGAATGGCCCCCCCACATGCAAGCACTTCCGGAAAGGCCCAAGCTCTAGTGGCAAAGCTACTACGAGGGGGAGGGGGGAGGGGGGACAGGGGGGGCAGGGGGGCGGGGGGCTCAGTCGGGTAAAGCATCCGCCGAAGAGAGGAAAATCGGATTTCGTGAGTTGCCCATGGAAATTCGATGAAAGAGGAAGAAAAAGAACAGGGGGAAGGCTCGCCTTTATACGCCGGAAAGATTTCTCCGAAAATGCTTGATGGCGCTCGAAGAAAAGAAAGAAAGATGGTAGGATGGGGATTGTGAATGAAGACATATCACATCTCGCGCGTCTTGCGGATTATCTTCCCACTAAAGCCTGAGAGCATAACGTGCCATGCCCGCGTTAATGTCATCTCTAATCATGATAAACTGAGAGGTTTTATGGCATATGCAACAGCTCCTCCTATTTCTTCCATCGTGGAGTCTGAGAAAGAGCGAGCGCCTGTTAATCATAAGGTCGACCAATATCGACGCCGACACGATTCGAAACGAAGCGGGGTGCGAATGCATTTGTCTCGTCGAAGTAAGTCTGTTTGAGGGGGGGCCTGGAATTCCTTGGCCTTTTTTTCACCTCTCGATCGATATACCAGGAAAAGAAGAAAAGAAATGGGGTAAGTTTTCGTGGACTCTCCCCTGGGGGTAAGGAAACGAGCTTCTTCCTTTTTTTCTCTCTCTGTTTCCTTTCTGCAGTGAACGGGACGGTTTCGTGCCTGATCTCTTCGCCTCATGCAGCGGGCTTCACATCTACAATATTCCTTGGTAGGCTTGATTCAATTTTTGATGATTTGATTTAAGAGGCTGGAGCTACTTCAAACCAACTTCCGGGAAGATAAACCCTGTTTTTCATGGAGCCTGAGTCCCCTTTTTATTGGAAGCTCATGCGTCATATCTTCTTGGAAAAAAAATTAAGGATATTCAAGGGAGCTCAGCATCGATCGTATATACTCTTTTCGCACCGTAATAAGACGAACCTTTTTTTCGTTTTAGTTAAGCTTGAAAGCATGAGTGTAACAAGCGTATCTAGGGCTTGGAGATGAAATTCGATTCCAGGAAGAGTCATTATGCAGGCTCAGAAGAATCGCTTCCAGGCTAATTCCCATCTCGTCTCTCGTGTCTCGTCGTAAATGTTCAAGGCAGAATTCAGATTTTTTTATATCTGCGTCTCGTGATGATAGATGGAGTCGCAAACACGAATGGCCTGCCTCTGGTTCAATTATGTTTCTGGGCGGAGGTAATAAATATGAGGAGGAAATGGGAGAGAGCAATTAGCACGAAGCGCGATGCTGCTTCATTACTTCCACTGCCCTCGTTGGATCGATGCACCTGAACAAAAGGTATGGATGGCTGGGATAATGGGGCAGTCCGTCTAACGCTTCCGTAGTCTTTCGCAACTCTTCCTCTCCTAATTTTCTTGGCTGTCCTGCTTCGATGTAATCACGTTTGCGGGATGGGGAAGCAGAATTGAGCCGACTAAAGGAGACAAAGGCTCTATATCTTATCTCGTTAATGACATTTTATGCTGATGCAAATTGCTCACGGGAGGCTCGTGAATCTTTCTCTTTTGGTGTTTCGTCGAAGTTCAGTTACCGTTCAATATGCAAATTAAGCTATGTCTATCGGCCCTAGCATCCAAGGCTAGTTGTTACCGTATTCTTCCTCGATGATTATTCGAGTCTGAGTTGTCCTTCACCAGCAGGGGTGTGGGTCAGCAGGAGTGTGGGTCAGCAGGGGTGTGGGTCAGCAGGGGTGTGGGTCAGCAGGGGTGTGGGTCAGCAGGGGTGTGGGTAGGAAGAAGGGAAGGGAAGGGTTCGAGTTGGGGAAGAAGACGCCAATTGTCTAGTCCAAGCATTCTGGGGTCTTTTATTCCGTTGACATAATTTACAAGTACTCTGTCCCTTCCTGGAAAATCAAAGCAAATCCAATTGTCTGCAAAAGGTCACACTGCAATCAGGAAAAACGGTGCCGATCCCATTGTCCCTCAATATATTACTGTCTCCCCACCGGCATTTCCAAAACGAATCACGCTTCATTGTCGATGCGTGCAAACGCAATCACGAACTTGACGCTCCCTTCCTCTCCGAATGTGAAATTTCCGACTGGGACGCTGGGAACGTCTCGTCTGAAACGCAAAGAGGGCCAAGTATGTGCATGGGAAATTCGTCAAGTAGAAGGGCTTCATCGTTTTCGAAAATCACGTTCGGTTAATCAAAAGTCACCTCATTCAGGACCGCTGCCAACGAAAACGAGCGCTCCTTTGTGCAAGACTGCCTCTTTGCTAATTACGACGACGCAATTACGACGCGTAACATCCCCTGCACCAACCGCTTCCTACCGGTGCCCAATGACTCGAGCAGGAGTACGATGCCTGGAATTTTAGATGACCCCTTGGCAGCCTTGAGGGCTACAGGTGTTCCCAAGCACTAAGAGCTATAGCCCCCCCCCCCCCTTTCTATTTTTAAAATGTATTTTTGACTAGGTTACGATTCGGTTTGTGCTGCTTTTAAGATTGGTCTTGGAAGAAGGCGACCTGGCTTTGTCCCTTTCCCTGTTTTGGCATTGTAAAGTGGGGAAATAGTTCCCTGAACAAAAGGGAAAATTGCGGCACGGCAGTCATTTGGCTAGAATTATGAAGCTAAAATTGGATATTATCTCCTCTGAACGACGAAAAAGTTATCGCAATGGCTTCCAAAATTTTAATATGAAGCAAGTTCAGAGAGAATCCTTTAAAATAAAAAAAGTCTTTTTTTTTTCATTTTATTTTTGCGCTGCCAATCGTAACGTTGCTGAACCCTCCAATTGCACTGAGGAGCAAATGGGGCGACTGTATTTGCGTTTCGCATTAGTTGGATGAATCATGGAAAAACTGAGCAAATATGTGCAAAAATGAGGCAATAGGAGGAATAAAGTTGAAGCAATAAGTATTCCCCGCCTTTGCGGAATGGTTTGGAGAGAAAAATGGAAAAGAATCTAACCCTGATATAACCACTTTTTTCACATTTATTTTTTGTTTGTTTTTTCCTTAACTTCTTTCCAAAAAAAAATCGTATCAAGAGTCGGCAATCCTTAGATAATTTTGGGGAAAGGAAGAAGAAAAGCAATTTCGCGACTCGGCAATCCCTGTTGGCTTAGATCAGGGCGGTCAAACATCCGACCCGCCGTCTGTTCCTGAAATTTCCGCTTGGATTGACTGCCAGCAAAAATTTCAGCGAAAAATTATGGAAAAATTAAATTTTCAGCCCTCCGACCGATTTGAGTCTGATCATAGAGCCACACGATTGAAGCCATCGACAAAACGGTAACTGAGAATCGTGAATCACGACTTCGAAGTGTATCTTCGCTTAAGAACCTCATTCGCTTAAGATGATCAGGCAGCAGAAAAACCTGCAGATAACTAGAAGCGTTGAAGAAACTCGAATAACTTCTGCGGTCATGACGTAAGCGAAAATCTCGTGTACTGCACAATGTACTCAGACGAAGGAATAGTTTTCTTTTGTCATATCTTCTTCTTTGGCCCTTTGTTTTCCTTTGATCCTTTGTTCTCCTTTGGTCCTTTTTATAGGAGTTTTCACTGCTTTTTTCTTGATGACTTCCTTCGTGGACTTGCTTCGCGCGCACGCAACTCGGTTGAGCATAATTGTTTCGTTTTTCAATGAAGTTGGCAGGGCAGGATTCGCAATGATGACCGGCATTGACAATGTCCGGCCCTTCCTGTCCGGCCCTTTCCATGACGGATTCAATCCCAGAAAGCATTTTCCTCGTGAAGGGCATTCCCCAGATTAGATTCTTCCCCTATCGGAGATTTTCCATATTGCAGTCGACTTCGCATAATGCAAACAGGGAACAGTGAACTTCATTCTGCGATCCGAAGTATTCCAACAACCGAAACTATCGTACTGCATTTATTTTTCGTACATAAGGCGATTTTTTAAATAGAAGATACAGTGCAGTACTCATTATTACACATTCATCCGCATTTTACGCATTAAAAAAAAATGCTTTTGCAAACGCTTTTGCACTTTTTTTTCTGTCCAATGTCTTCCTCGCTTTTCCCAGTTTTTGTGCATTCGTATTTTCCTATCTCCTATTGCACACACCCTACT